ATTCCTGCTCTATTGTCCAATGGTTTCAAATCCTTCCCTAAAATCTGTTGTAACCACCGGTTTGCAGCACAGTGAAGGCTGTCCTTTTCTGTGAAAATGGCAAAAGCAAAAGTTTTGCATGTGGTATATTTTTAGCTTTGGTTTATGTTGGGCTCATGCTATTTTTAGTTTGCTTTGTGAAGCTTATTATTTTTAGTACGAAAGACAAAGCAACTCCAAAGCAAGTGGAATCTGAGTCTGCCTTTCTAATTAATGAGATTGCTGAACACAAACTGAGCAGATATATGTAAGTCTGTTTATACATTCTTAAGTATTACACATCCTCAGGAAAGTCCTTATCAACTACTTTGACGGGCAAAATCAGCTCCAGAAGTCTACTTGTAAATATGTGTGTCTCTAACCATCTGAAAACAAATGTTTGTGCTTATTCATCTCTCTTCTGTTCACTTTTATCTACGCATTTTATTTTTTATAATGATATACATCTATATGTATGTACATTCCAAGATATTATGGGGAGTTAATCTTGAAAATAAACTTTATTGTAGTAGTGAAGCATTACAAGTAACTACACCTGATTCGAGCACGTTTGTAACTGGCACATGTCTATATAAACCACATGCTCAATGAGGTCTTTGTCTGTAATACATATAAACTAAAGGAAAAATCTGAAGAGGCTGGAGAATTCTAGATATGCCCTATAAACCCTTGCAAACTACTTCCTTTGTGTCAGGGAGTGAGGAAAATGTTTTTAGTTGTGACCTGTGATACTGTTGTAGCCTCTGTCACATATATATGTCCTTATAAACTTGCTGTATCAAAGAAGGAAGCTGGCCTTTAACAAAAAATGAGTATCCAGGACTAAGGTGATTTGCTTCTGTGGGCTATTTTGCTTCACTTTGTTTACCACGGAGGCAGGGTGAAAGAAAATCCAGAAATCGTCTTTTGAGTATTGTTAAAATATAATTCAAACAAATTACTTTGTGGTTATACTGTTCTTTTGTAGTCTTTTGTGCTGGGCTTATGACAACTGATCCTATGGCTAGAAATGTGACTAAAAATCTAAATAACAGGCCATTAGATACATTCTGCATCTCCTGAAATGCCCCACAGAGGGAAAAAAGCCTATTTGCGTGGAGACAGAAACTCAGCTGAGAAACTGGACCTTGCAACATGGCTTGAAGACCTGAATGATTGTGCTGGTTATTTGAACAGCTGAGAGCAAGGTGCTTCACAGCAGCACCTGTATCTGAAACCACCTTTCTGCTTCCAGTCTTCAAAATCTAAATGTGTAAGGGCTAGGAGAAACCATGGCTCCAGTTTTATGAAGTGTTGCAGTGCACAATTTACAGCATAAGGAGTATGCCAGTTCTTATGCTGATACCTTTTGCTAAAGGAGAAAGGAGAGTAATTCTAAAGCTGAAGTAATGTCACTTGTCACCTATGTATAGCTCTTATGCATGGCCTCTATCATGCTCCTGTCCTTCCCCATGAGCTGAGCAGCAGAAAAACACCCTGGCTTGGATGCTGGAGAAGGACAAGGTGATGCAGTACACTGCAGTTCTACGTGAGGTCAGCTAAACAGTGAGTTAATACAAATTGATGACAATGTAGTGTACTCAGCTGGCCAGGCTGATC